TAAATTCTAGAAATAGATAGCTCTAACCTCTCTTTCCCCTATATATAAATATGTATTCTTACTATGTAATCCAATATTGTTTATAATAAAGTGAATAGAGGAAAGACCTCTCTTAAAAAAAAAAAAAAAAAAAAAAAAAATACTTTAAAGATACTACCACCTAACTAAACATTTATTTGTATAATTTACTCTGTATAAATTAATAATAATTTTAAATTATTTTTTTTTTTTGGTATTAAGATGACCTCCTTGGCCTGGGGACTTTTTATTAGTAATCATTAGTTATTACAGTTACAATGAAGATACAACTAGCCACACGTACACCTTTAGGGTGCCTATTTAAGTAGTCTGCCCACAGGTTCTACACTAGAGGTCATACCTATGACCCAACTAGAGGGTTACCTTTTTAAATTTTCTGATTCTAACTGTATTTATAACCTATCATACTAACCCAAAAACTACTATCTGGCCCGTTTCTCTAGATTTTGCACCTGGCCTTAGAACTTTTGTGACTTATTCTAGGTTTGCACTGACTAATTACTGGCTTGCAATCCTCCATTGAATGGACACACAACTATCTATAAGGTAAACCTAGATAATTCGGTCACGTGCGTGTTTTGTTTCAGAACACCGATCTCTTTTTGGCAATTATTTTTATCGTCTGGGTTAGTCAGTTTTTTGGAAAAATGATTTATGATGTCTTGAATCTGATCATCTTTTAAACTTGAAATAGCATTTGCATTGTAAGTTATTTGCCTAATCTTATCTATTCCTATTCCCTCAAATAACGTATATACTTTTTTAGCTTTAAAACTTCTCTTATGCAAATTTACATCACTAATATTGGGAAGGAGCAATTTGATTTCATTGTATACCAAAGTTCTCGCTGATTGATCGTCAATTTTATTCTTGAATTTAATATCATTAACTCGATTTTCATACGCTTTAGTGTAACAATACCAACATAAATTCTCCTTTTGTCTAGTTTTCATCGCCGTATTAAACAAGTCTACTATAATCTGAGCCGTAACTTCATCAGAACCTATTAATATTTTTTCTAGAGGAAGATCAGAAATTTGCATGTTTATTTCTTGTATGGTAAGATTTTCCTTAGCAAAGACAGATAACTCATGCATTAGGCCTCGTTCTACTTTCTGATCATAAGGAATCTTTATTTCGGAAGAAATAGCATCGTGTATTTGATCAATGGACATTTGCTCCGATTTAGCAGATGTTTTTTGTATCAATTCTTGATCTTTAAATTTCTTTTCTCTATTTCTCTCTCTTATCATATTACTAATTATTTCCTTGTTTTGCAAATCCAGAAAATCATCAACCATATTATCTTCTAACGATTTAGGCTTCATATAGATAGATGGTGTGAAGCATTGATTCTTCGACTCCTGGCATATATCCGGATTAGATGCGTTATCGGATGTATTTTCTACCTGTTTAGGAGTATTGTTAGAATTTATTTCAGGGGAAGAGTCGGTGCTATCAGAGTGACCATTAATATGTGATAGAATAGGTACTTGTGAAGCATCATTAGTAGTCCAATTTGTTTTATGATTTGTTTTAGTCTTGTATTTTTGATCCTAAGATTAGCAATTTCTTCGATGATCTGTTTTAGTTTGGTATTTTCAGTTTCAAGTTTGGTAACTCGTTGTCTCAATAATTCAAGCTCTGATGACATGATTGATGAAAATTTTTATATATGGCATAGATTTATTCAAAATAAAAAAATCACGTGCGCGTTCCATTTCGGAACGCGGATCACTTTGCCAAGAAAAATTTTCGATCATATGCGAGTTAATATACATCGATAACAATACAATAAAATAAATTCATTCAATATACACGCAAAAGTAAACGCGATTATAGATATGAAATCGAGCCAGCTTTATTAATATGATATAAAATAAAATAACAATTATGGTGGAGGGGTAGATACATTTGAACTTCGCTTTCTAAGTCGTTGGGATCTAACATTGGCGGAATAGTATAATAACGACATGTTTATAATTATAATATTTCTTAAATTTAAAAGGGCCTCTATAAATCGGAATACGCTTTCACCATCAGTTGGTCTTACAGGAATTTTAACCGAATATAAATTATAAAGATGGTGGATATCATTCATGTCTTTAATAATAATCTTAAGATGCAACGTATCCCCGGCTATTTGCACTCTGATAACCCCAAATTGATTTATATCGGGCCTGCACCCACTATAAGTCCAATAAAGCCCATCATTCATCTCCCTCCATAGTTTTATTTTATCATCGTCTTCTTTTCGTTTAGGACATATTAACCGGGAACATTCTGCAAATATAAGTTCATATAACTTACCATCATATTCTTCTATGAGCATTATATCGGGTCGTTTACCCTTGTTTTCCCCACCTTTTCTATCCGCACTAGCTTGGCTTTGACGTTCTGCACTAAATTAAAAAATAAATTATAAGACTAGAAAGGTATTATAGTAGTATATACATACTAAGAAAAAATCTTACGTGCTAAGAAAGGCGGTATTTCTGATTGGAAGTTTTTTTAATGATGCTCGAAGCAAAGGAACGATCACATCCGTCACGTAAGTTCCTTCGCTTTGTGTTTTTGCAATATTGGCTTCAAATGCAGGGTTTCTCCAGATATCGCTTAGATATTCTAAAATCTCACTAGTGATGTGATTCTCTCCAAGTATGGTTATGTAGATATTTTGGTGGAAGGATCTCAATCTCATCTTTGTTAAAATCTTCAATAAATACATTACATATCTCCCTGATATTGGATGGTGCATCTATTCGCATACGATTTAATGGCTCTTTGAAACTCTTATAAACATTTCCATCTCCAGACTCCTTAGATAAATTTTGCACAAATTCATCAGTAATCACTTGGCTGGCCAACGGATTTTGCCATTTTAGATTATCAAGCTCTACACTATCTAAATATTTATAGATTTCTCTAGCAAATGAGGAGGATTTTCCCTATAAATAGTTTATAAATACAAAATATATTTATCTTAGAACTAGGCGCATGAGTTGCTAAAGGGAGTTAGAACGAGTAGGTGTATTGTATTGTATTGGTATAATGTGGTTTCGTC